GGCCTGGACAACGCAGTCATTTGCCAGAGCAAACACTTGGAATCCTTTGTAAAGGTGGGCAAATTTGGTCAGTATAACTATACCAGATTGTCATACAGCTCTCAACTCATAACTTTTATGAAGAATATTTTTGAAGAAGTACTGTAAGAAGACCTGCGGGTATTGCACTGACACAGCGACAGCATCAGCACCAGGTGAGCGTTTTTTGTTGATGGTTTTCCTAAATGATCAGTGAATAAACTGAAAGAAGCATGCTCCGGTGAAGCTTGCAGTTTATGTATGTTTCCAAAATCACTTACTGTCTTTCAGTGAGGAAAAAATTGTAGTTATGGCAGAAAGCAGCTTCAAAGAGTTCGCTTTTCATTGTTAGAGGCAAAAAGGCTCTTTATTGAAGAGAATTGTCACCCCTTCCTCTGTTAAGAGATAACTCCATGAGAGATATTTTTCAAAGAGGCACAAAAAGAAGCAAGGCCAACGTAATGGGGTGTTACCCGCTTATGAGTCGTAAAAATTGTTGTCTGCTCATTATATGAACCCTGGCCAGATTTTCAACTATACTGAGGCGTTCAAGGATGGGGCGCCTTCATTTCCGAACAGATTCTTTGTTTTCCATCGAGTATGTGGGAATAGTATGTCCCTGATAGTTCTGCCTTTTAGCGATGCTTTGTTCAATTTTTGTAACTGCCTCAAATTTTTGTTGTCCACGTTGTAAAGTAACAGACAAACTTATTACGAACAATAGTATTCAACAGATGTCGAAACTTCTTTATTTTCAGGCGTTGGATGTGGATCGGATCCGAAGTAATTTTTTATTCGCTAACGCTAAGGAGCTGAGGTTGCACTTTCTTATGATGTCACTGGTGACCAAAGAATTCTTCCAGAGAATTCTGGAGCCATTCTCTAACCCAGTACCTCCTTAAAGGGATGCTTCGATGCCGCTGTTTACGACTAAAGGGATGATCGATAAAAGGACGAAGTACCGAAGGATATATCTCTCAGCNTTTTTCTTTTGAGATCATTTGAAGCTTTTGGTTCAACGCTGCTATAAGAAGAAGCTCACAGCTTCTCCAAACTGAAACATTTGGCAAAATCTCCTGGTAGTTATGGCCAAAAAGTTCAAAAAAGATTCCGACTATTTTTACGAGTTGCTAGTCTTTAGAACATTTCCACATGGTTCGATTTTGAACCAAGATCGATGGGTCAAGATGATGTCCTCTCAGGAAACCACGAGAAACTTGGGTATAATACTTGATTGCCTTTGATGTAGTGCTTCTGGAGTGCTAAGTCCCGGTGCTGCACAGCTAGTTTGTTTATCGGGATCACAGACACCGTCCCTCTCATGAATGTTCAGAAGAAGGAATAATTAAAGCTTTACATTCGATTTTGTTCAAACTCAATGAGCAGTTGCGTGATGGTTCACCATTTAAACCGCATCTGACCTTTATGTACTTTAATTCCAGGAAAACTACATTCTAGATGACCACGTTTTTCTTCTTTCAGATGCCAAAACTGGATCAAAAACGGATTTTGCACGAGCACATTCTATTCTGATGCGCAGAAAAGGCAGTACTGTGGACGCCCCTGCGGTCTTTGCTAGAAAGTGAAGTCTTGTTCAGAAGGCTGCATTCTGACTTTTACATTCGAATGTGAACATCCACATGAATGGATGTGACTTTACAATGTTTCTGAATTTGTGTATGTGCGTAAAATCAAAGAATATATGTGATTATTTGTCGTGCTCTTTAATTTTTTCCGAAGTGCCGACTGATAAAGTCTGAAATCCCTCCCGGTGGATCTGTCCCGTTATCGATTCCCATTCGGTATTAAAGCAACTTTCAAATGCTCTTCCAAAATGAAATGGCTTCCTGGGCCATGTACTCGTCACCAATTTGCTCCCTCAGAAAAATCTGGTATTAGACGGACGGAGAACTAAAAGTGGTGGGAGGGAAATCAGGTTGGTCTGAGCCGGTGGCATGTCTGCATTTGCAGTACATAACAAAAAAGGATTTTAGATAACAGACTAATGATATAAAAAATGAATCAGCCAGCATGAAGGTCTTGGGACCGTTACTACACAGTTGTGTACCCCTCCAAGAATGACCTCGTGAGAAACACTTTTCGAGGAATTATAGATTTTCCACTTGCACACGGACCAGTTATTCCCTCATGGGCGAGTAGTTACCTTTCAGACAACGATTTTTCAGTACTTCGAATCGGCGGTGAACTGCGACAACAAGATCTCTGCCGTGCCGCTTACCTCGTCTACACGACAGCAGTATAGTATATACTGAAAGAGATGCGCAATGTGAAGGGAATTCAGTAGTACTTCTAAAAGCGTGTCAAGGTAGAAAGCTTTTTTGCTTTGAAATAGCTACAGGAGCCGATACCTCTTCCCATCCAATCCCCCACCCCCTCTCCTCCTCCCATTCCTCCTCCACTTTACCCTGTGCTGTTATGAGGCCTGCGTACAGTAGATCCACCACATAGTTCAAATTGTAGTCTCTAATATGAAAGCTCTGAGGTGTGTGAAGTTTTGCATCCAACATTGAATGGGCGCGAACCTTTGCTCTCTATAGTCCCCTTGTCTTCTGACGGCCCCATCGGACTTCAACTTTAGCTAAGGGGAGATTGCTTTCAATTTTTCCAATCCGTGCTTGAACATATTCCGCTTGATACCAAACCTCTCAGGTGTGCCAGGTGGATTCGAAATATATTTTGCCAGAGCACATTTCACTCTGATGCATACAAAAGGATGTGCTGTGCGCGTGACTGCGGTCTATGCTGAAAAGGAGACTACTTTTTTGGGAGCTTCATCTATTTCCTCCTACATGTGATTCCCCACATGTTATGGATGTAAATGTTGCAGAGGTTTCAGAGCTAATTTTTTCAGAATCAACAAATAAATTTAATTACTGCATTCATATTCCATGCATTTCTCTACATATTGCAGCTTTTCGTTTTGTAGTGTGAGATAGCTGTTCATATTTCGGAAGAATATCGAAGATGACTTATCATTTGCGTTTATAAGCTTTGCATTTCCTTCTGTGCAAGCCAATAAACTTTGAAGTTTTACAAGGTTGACGAGTTATGAACAAACCTTCAGCCTTGGACGGGACTCTCGTCCACTTATCGCATCGTTTCAAGATTCTGAGAAAGCATATACAACGCCATCTTCATCGGCATCTCGGCGACTATTCACACTATGAACCACAATTAAATTGCTCACGTACGGTACATCTGAAGGAGCAGTTCGTGGTTCAAATAAGAAGGCAGAAAGTACTGCTTATACCTAATATCTGACATCGCATTTAAGTGTGGTGAGGAAAAAATATGTATGAGCTAGAAGATGGATTTCAACGACCCGTGAAACTGTGATACAGTATATAGTGAGTGTATCTTCGGATTACTGTGTAACACATTCACGGGACTATGAAATCTATCTTTCGTGTGAGTTACTAAATCTCTCACTGAGTTCGCTCTTATCATTCCTTTTGATGGGTACTTCTTCAAAAGAAGCATACTCAATAATACATGGAAAGACTGAAACTGGATCTGTGCAAAGAGGAGAGGAAACCTTCGAGTTCTTCTACAGGTCCTCAATCCACAGGGTGTACAAAAATGGGTAGTCCTCAGATAGGCTCCAAATTCTCCCATAGCCCCTGGATTTGTGGAATGCAGAAAGCAGTTGTACATTTTTTGGGCTCCTCTGAAGTCTTATACAAATTCACAGGCAGGTACTGAAAGGTTTTATACTAACTCCACAGCAATGCTCATTAACCGCAGTAACTTGGGCAATGCACACGATGTAAGCTCAAACTAGGAGATGGGCGACCTCGAAGAACACACTTTTTGCAACGTTTCAATGAATTCGACTCCAAACACTCCCAAACTCCCTTGCCCTTTAGCTGATCATTTTCAAGATCGGAATCCTGGATAACCACTGGGAACGAAAGTGATGACGTTCCCTGGAGCGCGCCGTTAAAGCAAACGGAAAGGTCATAGATAGAAACTATACATCATCCCCAACTGCGAAGCTTTTTTTAAACAATGCAAGCAGTATCACAAAGAATTTTTTCATCGAATCTGGTTGTTTTTATACTGTGATGATGCGGAAAATGAGCACGTCAACTGCCCTGTTTATGCTACCTTGGTGCTTTTTCATAGTCTCTGGAATAAGAGAGACAAATGAATGTGGAGGGCCTTTTTTTAAGCAGTGCTAGCTTCATATTTTTTTTCAATCTCATTGGAATAAAAGCGATAGTGCACTTCAAAAAGCCTATCTTTGCGTATCTGTCACTATGTATTCCCGACCTTTCTGACGAATTCGTGTGCTCAACTCTGAATATTTCAGCAAAGTCATGCTCTGCATTCTTATAATTTCAACTCTGCTGGCAAGCTTTTTAGAAGCAGGAATATTGGATTTGAACTGTACCCACATGGTCGGCGGCGCTTCTAAGGCGAGTATGTTCAACAAACGGTACACATACTCAACCTTCATGGGCAGTACTCATGAAAATCGTGTGGTAGCAGTAAGTAGTTGCGATCATGGTCAAGATCAGAGGGTCTCGATTTGTAGATTCCGGAGGGGTATGGTCGTATCCAAAAAGGATAATCAGGGGCGTAAGCCGATGTTTTGATAAATGCTCCATGCTGGATACTTTTTGTAAGGTGTGGATGTACGTTGAAGGAGAATTCGGGAAAATGAGTCGAATTGAAGTTTATCCACACTTAAATGTATATAATGGCATAAACACCTCCGATTGTCCTTTATGTACTTCCTGCTACGTCCTTTCTAGAGGAAATTCCATCTGCTGCAGCGTCAAACAGGTTTATGTTCGATGAATTATTACTTTATACTAAACGTTTTCTTCTAATATTGTTATTGCTTTGATGCTCGCCCTACAGTGGCACATAAAAATGAGTAAATAAATAAAAACAAAATGCACCTAGACGTAGCTATTGCCATGAAACCAACTCTAAAAGTGTCGGCTGTGCTGAGCTATCGCAGCTATATGTATATGGACCGCAAAATTGATGTGTCTAGTTGTTTGTTAGTTTCTTTGTCTGCCTGTCTGTTCGTATGTCCCTATGTCACTACTGAAAGAATAATAGGGTAGCTTTTCAAAGTAGTCCTGAGGGTTAGGCCTTTCGCAACACCCACATATTGCGGACCTCGCCCACGGAGGGTGGAGGGCTCTTGAAATGGATGTCACCTTCACCATATAGATCGAAGTAGAGAAACCGCGCTAGGCTCACTGATAACTGAAAGTGCGTGAAGATGGATGGGTCTAGCTGGGCACTGAAAGGGCAATTTATCCTCTGTCTGTCGGTATGTGTGTGTGTCTGTGTTTGTGCGCATGTGTGTGTCCGCGGGTGTATGTCTGTGCGTGCTTGTGTGTGTGTGTGTTTGTGTGTCTGTGAGTTGACCGGAAATTCATAACTCTTGTTCACATCACTCTACAGGTGCGGATATTTTCGCAGATTCATAACTTATAGTCTCCTGTACCAGAGCATCTAAATTCGGAAGGAATGCAGGCAGTTGGCTAGTTCAACGTAAAAAAATTAGTAGAGTCCAGAGTTAGCTGGGCTTTTCAGTGGTTCAAAATTAGCGAACAAGCTGTTACCTTCAACCAGGAAGCTATCCCTCTGTTGTTTGCTAGGTAAGCCACTAGTTACACGACACAGCAGTTGCATTTGAGTATGGGTAACAAAAAAGGCCTTTCAGAGTTGCTACAAAAAGCAATCTGCATAAGGAACTTGGAATAGGGCATTGAATGCGGACTCTTTTGAAATTGATATCAGGAGAAACTCTTTTGAGGAATTTCCGATTTTATACCGAGTTGTATAATAGATAGGTTGTGTATTCTGAATGTGAGAAAAATAGGCAATAATCTGTTGTTTCTTTCCAATCTTTTCTTTTTCAGTATGCTCAAACAGCTGTGAACTGCAATAACAAAATTTCCGACGCCGCTTGCCTCGTCATCTACACGGCAGCAGTAAAAGTTGATGACGATACGGAACGTGATGCAAAATGTGCAGGAAATCCTGTAGTACGTGATCAGACAATGCGCATCCTTTCATTTGGATTGTTCTATCCCAATTTACTTAAATTACAACCTCTAAGATGAGTTTCCCTTGAAGGCACAATTTACGATAATTCTGAGGTGCCCTTTTCTTATTCGAAAAGCGAGAATGCTGGTTGAGAATAGCGCATCGGCAGCAAAGAAAACAAGAAAATGTTTATCCGCATCATATCCCTGTTCGACATGAACAGAGGCTGTGAAAATTTTTCGTGCTTTTTTTGGGAGTTTATTCCTATTTACTTCATGGTTTTATTTAAATTCATTCCCATCTGGAATTACGTGGGCTTGAGTGGTGGAACTCTTCAATCGGAATATAAGCAGGATAAATTATGCTACTGTAGAATCATTAGAAGTTTCTGATCATTTGCTCAAAATTTGCCTAAAAAACTGGTAGACAAAGATGGATTCTATGTTTTCAGAATCCTCAACTAGTTCAAGCAGCAATAGATATTTGTCCCAAGACGTGTGGATACTGCTGTCTTACACCCGCCTTCATGTGTGAAGACAAACGGCGTATGTCATAGTAATTCTAAACTACTTCTTCATAAAAATGATACAGTTTTACTCCTTTCCCATCCCTCAACACTGCCTGAATTCCTGGTTTCATCTCAGAACCGCGAATCCCATGTTCTTCGGTGACGCAGGACATGTGTGAAAGTGCAGCCTGGAGAAGTATTCTCGAAGAGGACTGCCCGAAAACATGTGGTCTCTGCACAGCAGGTCTGTCTTNCCAAAGAAAGATTCATATGTACTGGTCATCATGGTAATTGCCAGTAGTACAAAAAACACGATTTAGCTCTGGGTTCCAGGTCCTTGTTTCGATGAAGCACCCGGCTGTGGCCTGGACAAC